ATTGCAAGGAAGACACTGTCATCGTAGTTGATAGCCACAACGGTGACGAAATTTGTACTAACTGTGGTAAAGTTTTGCAAGAAAAGTTGATTTGCGAAGAACAAGAATGGAGAATGTTTTCTAACAATGACAATAACAGCCAAGTAGAAAAGAGTCGTGTTGGTGCGGCGAATGATTCTTGGATGATGGACACAATCGGCGGAACGACTATGCTTGGCGGCGACAAGAAATTCAAATACTTGTCCGTTACTCATAACGTTACGACCAAGTCTAACGCAGCAGACAGACAGTTGAAAGCCGCCTTTAATATTTTGAGCTCAACTGTTGAGCATCTGTCTCTACGTAGTAACGTAACTGAGCGTTGTCGAGAAATTATAAAAGACTTGCAAACACAAACAGACTTCAACTTCAGAAACACGACTACCATGATTTTGGGTGTACTTTATTTCGCAGCTCGCGAAGAAAAACAACCTATTCCTGTCGAACTCTTGTCAGGCTTCGACGCTACGATATCCACGCAAGATATCCTTCGAGCTGCACAGAAAGTACGCAAGGCTTATAGTATGCTCAACCCTACTATTGACCGATCAGCATACGCCTCAATATTCCTAGTTTCAAAAGTTTGTCACATTTTGAAACTAGACGAGCAAGTAGAAAAGCTCTGTATTGACATGTGCAAGGCGATTGAAAAATCAGCTCTTGTCGACGTGTCTAAGTCACACTATATCGCTGCGGTCACTATAATGTTCGCAGTTCAGCTCCTTAATGTGAGCGTTTCTATATTAGATGTGCTACAAGCAGCAAAATCTGGCATCACACCAGTAATTGAAACTTACGCTATTCTACATGAGAAGTTAGATTCTATTTTGCCGCCTAATTTCTTTCCTTTAAACCCAGGTGGTATCAATGGATTAATTCCAGCGCATAATTTGAGAAAAATAAAAAAATTATAACGGACTGGAACACAGTCAGTTCAAGTCTTCACTGTCCGAACTTGAATCTTTGCTTAGGTCAACTGGTTCTTTAAGAAGAGGCATTTTTTTAGCTTCCTGTGCGTTCATTTTTTTAATTTTTAATTTTTTGCTTTTGCTCATTTGTTGATCATCTGTTTTCTGCAACAAAGCTCTTTTTTCTTTTATTTTTTTTTCTGCTTTGTTCTTTTGGTTGCCATTACCGCGAGATGTTGGAGGAATGCAAGATAAAGAACACTCAATCATGTTCTTGAACACGTCTTTCTTCGTAGGATCGACAGCGTTTAAAAATTGAACTATATTTTTATCTTCCATGGTTAAACTGTCATCAGCGTCCCAGAACCCAAAAGGAAAAGTATTTTTGCGGTCATATTTGAGAACGTATTCTATTCCAGATTTCCACGTTTCGGGTACGCTGTCGTTTTCAAGCAAAAGTTTGGCCAGATACTTGAAATTGTCTCGTTTTTTTGCATTGAACCTCGGGGGTAACTCCACCTTGTAGTGCTCAGGTACGTCATACATCAAGTGGTGTCGAAAACGACGAATCAAGTCTACACCTTCGAGTTTAGCAAGTCTTTTTTCACATACTCGTATTCTTTCCAAGAGAGATTCCAGCGTAAGACTCATTAGCTTGCCTTTTGTGAATTTTATTCTAAAAAAATTTTCTTACCATTTTATTTTTGCTTTAATTTGTAAATTCGATGAAAATAAGATGATGAAAATTCAATTATTCATCCTTATTTGTCTGATCAAAGCTGAATTAATTATTAAAAAGAACGTCCTACAGGGCAGCCACACGCTTGATAACCTTAAATTGATTACTTCGGAAGATGAACCTGTGATCGTAAATGAACCTCACTGCAACCTCATACACACTTCGAGGTTAATTCAAATCAAAAATAAAAATAAAATACCGACAAATCCTACATATCTCGAATGTACTATTACTAGCAAAGGGATATCTTGCGAAGGAAAAAGATCTGTTATATTCTACTTTTATTCAGATATCATACTTCCTATTAATACGATTCCAGAACAACGTTTATGCTTTTTAATTGAACGACACAACGCCCGCAAATCCGCTAAACCGCGAATTCTGTGTGCGTCTACTGCTGAAGCTGCAGACGAATTTTTGAAAAACATTTATAAGGCCATATTTTGTTTGTCCACTGGAATACAACTGACTCAGAAAATAGATAAAACACCGAAAAACCATCTCAAGCTTCCTCGCTATTCAAATAGAGGCAAACGGATCGCGAACCTCGAACATAATTTACATCAAAATCCTAACATTTCTAATAATAAAGAAAACGATTTAAATAAGTTGATAGAAGAAGCTAAAACAAAGCTTGATGATAAAGATAAGCCAGAAGGTAAATCTAAAGAACAAACTAATGATGACAAAAACAAGGCAACAGAAAAAACCGATAAATCAAAAAAAACTCAGAATGAAGAAACAGACCAAGTTTCCAATAACACTTCTCCAGACAAAAAGAAAAGCAAACAACCAGAGAAACTGCCTGAAATCGTTATCGATTTAAGTGAAATCGAATTACCCGTGATCAAAGTAGGCGCAGAAGAATTGTAAGCCTAGAATTGTTAGTTATCTAGCAATAAGTTGACAAAATCTCTTGTTAAACCTTTTATTAAATCAACATCTAAATCAATGCGTTCGCCTTGCAACGCCTCTAAATCTTCAATGATAGTTGAAATCAGCGCGTGACCAAACTTTTCGTCTTTTACTGTTTTTAACTTACTTCTGTCCTGGTTTATGATGTTTTCAACCGAATGATAAAGCTTACTCATTACGTCAAACCATTCCAAAAAACTAGATTTGTCTTGCAAAATATTGATAATGTCTACTGTAAAAATACGCTGATGGTCTGAAACTTTCGCTATAAAAGAAAGTTTTCTGATTTCATGCTCTTTTTCCAGTTTACCGCGTAGTGCGATAATTAAATTCGAGACAATGGTCAACTGTAGCAAAAGGTTGTCTGGAAGTTTTTCAACTTTAATGTTTCTCATTGCTAAAAGCGTCAGTAAACCGCTTGTTTTGTAACGGCTATCAAGTTTTATTACATTAAACATGACTGATTTTATGTCATTGTTCAATATCCACTCATTAATCGCAGCTACGGAGCTGTAAAACGAACCACATCCGTAATCACCTGCATATGCAATCAAATTTATTAAGTCACAATTGATAAATATTTCCAATGCATTGGGTGTATCTTTTGCTTTGTCATGATCGCTTATATCGCAACTTTTATTTTCATCTGAATCCATTAAACTTTCACTTTTTGCTGCGTTGTCAAGTGACTGTTCAGGATCATTGGACAAATCGTCTGGGAACATTTTCTGGGAATCGCCCGTTAACCAATTCATTAAGAGACTGGCTTTTTTCGTGAGCGACTTTTTTTGTTTGTCAAATTCAAAAGTAATATTATCTAACATTTTCGTAAAGTCGTCAAAGTCCTTGATTATTGATTTTTTAACTGTTTTTTTATTACTTTCATTGAGCAATTCTAACTTGGATGTAACTTTGTTATCTAGTTCGGCGATTGCGAGATTAAGTACATGGTCCAAGTTTCTTAGTTTGATGTCATCTTGTAAAAAATTTGGTTCTTTATCCGGTGTTATAATTTTATCGACCTGTTTTACTTCAAATTCCTGTACTTCTGGCTGGAAGTCGGCCAAATTTAATTTACACAAATCAATATTCGAACTTGTCTTTTCATGGTCCTTCAGTCCTCCAAGGTTCAGAGTTTTTTGAGTCGCATTTTTTATTTGTTGAGCTAAAGGTTGAATCAATCTAAAGCCTAGAATTGGCTGTAGAAGAGTAAAATTTTCTAAACTGAAATCGAGTTCTTTTTTGAGACGTAAAAATCCTGGTGACAGTAGAGGAAGCAAAGGATCATTATTCGTGGCACAAGTGCTAAAAATGTAAATATGATAATCGGATTTTTTTCCTATTCTGTGATAAAACAGTGGAGCGTGGCGTATAAAGTTTTCTTTGCTGGCCGTTACAAGGATCGGTATGTTAGAGAATCGAATGATCGACGAGTTAAAAGGAAAAAATTGGGTAGAAAACTGTTTATTTGGAGTGTTAGGAGTAACTATTTGGGTGAAATTAAAAGAAAACTTTGAAGAAAGCGAAACAGGGAGGAAACCTGCTGAGTAAGTATACAGATCTGGATTCGTTGGGTCTTTGGAAATTAAGTAAATAGCGGCATTGTCATTAAGTAAGGAGACTCTTAAAACCATGTATTCAGACTTCGGGTGCACATATAGATTGGTAGCAAAAATGGAAGAATTTAACGATTTTAAAAAAGTCTGGTTAACCAATCTCAAATCAAGTTCCAGTTTGAGGCCAGGAACTTTTTCGATTTCGGCTATGAGTTTTTCTTGAGAACACTGTTCAAGATCGAATATGCAAGAAGGAATACTGTCAATTGTCTTACTGTTCAATAAGGTGGAAAGTTTGAAGCTTACCAGCAGACTTTCAAAAAAAAATAAAATTATATCGTTTATCGTGGGGTGAACTGAATAGGTAAGTTTGTTAAAAGTAATATTTTTTAGCGTGATCACGTTGAAAATAGTGGAGGTAGTGCAAAAAAATAAAGACCATGTATAAAGTGGATTCGTTTCTGTTTTGTTTGAGTAGACTTCAACCGGTAAAATACCAGATGTTTGCCAATTCAAAACAACTTGTGGTTTGGGAACCACGTTTGCATTGTCTGTGTGGAGATCGTATATTTTACGGTGTTGCTTTTGCAACTGACAAAAAAGTTCATCCATGTGGATAATGGGGTCTGAAACGTCTGAAACCTCAAATATCCTAACGTTTTTATTAGTCATAAGTCGCAAAACTATCAGAAAAAACAAAAATTCGCTTTAGAAAGCTAATAAAGGCCTAATCTTTGATATGAGATTTTAATTTTTAAATTATTTTGTCCGAATAAATAAATAATTATAAAATAATTTTACTGTTGCGCTCAGTTTGGTACTAATCACTATTAAGATATTTTGATGTTAAGTTTTCCCAGATCTATTTGCCGTAAGTACATTTCGACGTGGAGAAATGTTAATCCTAATGAAATTCAGGTTGAACTTATGCAAGCAGGCTTGTCGAACAAATTATTTATTTTGAGCGTTCCAAATAAAGAGCCTTCAAAAGCTTTTTTGCGTTTATACGGACCACTTCGCCAAACATTGGCGAAAATCATTGACGAACAAACAATTCTCGAAGTGTTAACAGAAGTGAAACTAACGGCCAGGATTTATGCGTCTTTCGAAGAAGGCCGGATTGAAGAGTTTTTGAACGGCCAAATGTTGACGATAGATGAGTTTTACACCGAACCTATTTACAAAAAACTGATATCAAAATTACATTTACTGCATAACTTACAGAAGGTAAAACCTAAACTTCTTACGCTTAAAGGAAACGAAACTGTTATCATCAGCATTATACGAGAGTGGGTGGTAAACGTAAAAAATTTTTACCTGAAAAACCCGGAAAAAACCAAACAATTCGTGGAGCCAGTTTTGAAAGATAGTTTTGTCAATGATTTTCAAGACTTGTCGCTGCCGATTGTGCTTGAAGAGACAGAAAAATGCATTTCAGCTTTTCATGAAAACAAGTTCAATATCAACATTCAAGACAACATTTTCATGGATGTCGTTTTTTGCCACAGCGATATCCACAGTCAAAATGCTCTTATCGATAATGACAAGCTACATTTAGTAGACTATGAATTCAGCGGTTTCAACTATCGTGCGTACGAGTTGGCGGTGATTTTCACAGAGAAAACGATTAGCTACACGGTGAAAGAACCACCCTATTTCAAATACAACTGGGAGGCTAAGCACTACCCCGACGAAACTGAAATTGGTCACTTTATAGAGCTGTATTTGTTGGCAAGTAAAGAATACAAATCACTCGCTACAGACAAAAATTACATTCGTGACTGCGCGCGTTTCGTGCTTGTAATGAGCTTGTTCGCTCAGCTTTTCTCATTCTATTGGGCGTTAGTCGTCATACAACTGAAAAACGAATCTGTCCATTTTGATTACTTTTATTTTTCCTACATGAAATATAAGGCTTATTTGAGCATGAAAGAACTTTTGATTGAAAAAAAAATTATCTCGCGCTATTAGTGAGATAAGAAACATTAACGAAAAATAATTTGTTATGTACACATTAGTGCTCTAAAAAACTTTTATAACAAATTCAACTACGAGAACGACTATTGCTCTTCGAGTGGAAGATTAACTCATTCGCCATTCAATTAAATAAAATAAAATGTTATCAATCTATTGAGAATGAAAAATGAGCTATTTTGATAAAATTTTATGTGCTCTACCTTAGTCTCTTACGCAAGGTGTTTTGATTTACGTGTCGTAACACATTAAAATTATTGAAGTCATATTTGCGAGCAGATGATGGCATCAGAAACGGGAGAAAAATTAGTCTCTCTAAATATAAACATTGGTGAAAACATCTTAATTAAGAAGGAAGATGCTGTTAATTACAAAGTAAGTAACTTTTCAGTAAATACTTTTAGCTGTACAAAGTAATTAAAAATAACTCCCTTCCTAAAGTTGAAAACTCGAAAGCACCGGTCTCTGATGCGGAAGAAGCATTCGATATGAGTGACTTAAACGCAAAAGCTGTCTCCACTCATGTGTATGAAAAAAAAGAGTTTAGCAATAGAAATGTGAAACACATCGAAAGCCGCACGCAAAACTTTCCAAACAAAGAAATAGAAAAACCCGCACATGAATACAACTTGAACACCAAAAATTCACGATCTGCAATTAACAAGCCCACGCCAACGAGCTTTGAACCGACTATGAAATACAACATATTTAACTGCACCGAATGCCCTTATTGTAACAAAAACTATTATGTCGCAAACAACTAGTTACATTGTTTAACTAAAAATATTGATATTGATAGGCATAACAAACGTGTTTTGTTTTTTTTGGAGTTCTAAATGATTAAAAAAGTTTTATACATTCTTCATTATGTGATACAAAACGTTCAGGGTTAGTCTAGTAGTAATAAATCTATGTAGGACAGTTGGGTATTGCTTCCAATATCAGTTTTGGAAGCAACCGGTGGCCTGTAGCGCCCAAGATTATCAGTGATTTTAACGGTATCAACTTTCCTAATAATCCCGTGTTCCGTTCACAACAGTTCCATGGCTACCGCGCTCGCGGAGACTATCTAGGAAACCACGTTGGGTGCTCGAGAAACGAGTTTCGTTGTAATATACGGTTTGACTGCTGCAGCGGGTACTGTCACAATGGTCGTTGTAAGTTTTGTAACCAGATAAACAAATTGCAGGTAAACTCGTGCATGATTACCATCCGGATACAAAGTATTTAATTTTCTAAAAATTCTTCAGTGAGCATGAAGTCTTCTGTTTTTTCTTCGGCGTAGCGATTCTTTTTTTGGGCTGTTGAACTCGCAAAGCAGTTATTTTGTGTATCGAACTCTTCCAGATTGCATACTTTGGCTGTTATATACGAGTGTGCGTTGATCTTGCAATCCACGTTTTTTACTGCATCTTCTGTAATTTCGTAAACTTGATTGTTCGATATTATATATCTGGTGTGATCAGAAAATTCAACATAAATGGGTTTTTCGTTATGTCCCAGTTTGTTTCCTTGTAATTTGGAAATAGAATGCGACCTGTCTACGGCAAGAACTAGCTGTTCGTCGTCATCGAAAGCCATAATACAACTAAAATTTATTTTATTTTTTTAGAATAAAAGCCAATTTAAGCAAGGCTCAGAGAGAATTTTGCTCGATAACACTAGCATAATAGCTTAATATTTCTATAATTTCCAGGGATGAATCAACATGAACCGAAAGACGTCTGTGACCCGTCTAACTTAAAACCTTTCCCCTGTTCGTGTAAAACAGAGAGCAACGAGCATTCGACCAAATCCGCGGCGTTAAGCCGGGCTTTCCACTTTTATTGTCAACGTAACGTTGAGAAGACCTTAGAAGAGCTTGAAGTCGTGCTCGAAATCACTCCTACTTGTGCAGAGGCTCTGGCGTTAAAAGGAACTGCGTTGGCTGTAAGCGACGTTTATTCTGATGACGCGTTAGCTTTAGTAAAACAAGCGGTTACTCTAGTTCCGGCGAGCCATTTCGCTTGGAAATCGCTGGGGTTGCTGTATTACGAAATAGGGAAGTTCAACTTGGCCAAAAAAGCTTTTTCCAAAGCCAAACTTTTAAATCCAGACTCTGACGTTATAGTTGCAACCAACCTTAGCAGACTGTATTTTTTGTTGAAAGATTTTGAACAATTCACAGAAATTCAATTCAACGAATGGAAATCAAGCTCATCACTCCACTTTTTTACCTACGTTATTTCGCTTTATTTGAACAGCATGTACGCCGAAGCGTCAAATCGTATCTCTTGGTTCGTACACGTTCTTACCAAAAACAACTCGGAAATCATAAAAAGCGATAGTTTTTTGGACTTTGTACTTTTCGGAGTGAAATGTGCTATGGCTGAAAAAGACTATAACCAGGCATTGTCGTTGCTGGACCGATACAGTTTCAACGTGAAAAATAAAGCGAGAACTGTAGTCGCGTTGGAGTTCAAAGCGTACTTGTTGCTGAAATTAAATCGATTGTTTGAGGCTCGTGAGGTGCTTCTTAACTTGCTGAAAAACAATCCTACGTGTTTGAACTATCAATACTTGTATTCGCTGACTTTTCCCAACAACGAACAGCTTTTGCTCCAACCCGAAATTGTTAAAAACCAAGAAAGTTTGTACCAAGGTTTGTTTTCATTTATTAGTTCAAACTTTTCTTACTATTTTCCAAAACCATTTTACCGAAGTGTAAATAAATACGCAAATCTTTTCGTGACTTCGTATGAAACTTGCTCTGTCGCTTACCAACGTATTCCAGAGAATGCTTTCTACGCTTTCATCCAGCACATGTTTAAGCGCAACGACGAATATAACACCAGACCGGCGTTTCTGACTAATGATTCGAAACAAGTCTTTTCCAAAATCATGTCTGAGGGAACAGATAGTATTAAAAGTCACGACACAGCCATCAAAATAAAAAGAATCGTTTCGAAAAAAATGAAAGTTTTGTTTAGAGAGCTTATAGAGTCTAACAGATCAATTACACAAAATCTACAGCCGCAATTGTTGCTATGGACCTACGAAGACGAAGACCAGATAAAGATGCTGACAGAGATGATCACGATCGGTTTGACAAAAAACAAAAACGCGCTTCTTCAATTGTATTTCACCTTAAAAGAAACAGCTCCTGTGCTGTATGACAGATTTATCACCATTTGCTACAAATTAAATGAGGACGAAGTTATGAAAAAAAACAACTTCTTACAGTTGATTCTTTTGTATCACTTAATTCAAAGTCACAATGAAAATTTCATCAGTATGAACATTTTCGAGATGATACTTAAGCTGAAAGAAGTTTTCACGACGGAAAACGTGTTTTTGTACGAGCGACTTTACTATTTGTTGTACGCCGTGGGCCATATCAAAGGCAGTGAATACCAACTTGCGCTTGAAGAATGTATTAAAGTTACAACCAAAGATTCGGAACTGTTTAATCGGTATTTGATGGTTAGTTTTGAAATAAACGACATCAAATCCGTTATGAAGATGTGTAAGCAAATGTTTGTTATTCATGAAAAAAAAACAACAAATGTGAAAATCGACTTCGAAAATATCCGCTTGGAAAATTACTTTGTCCACTTTTGCCTAAGAACATTCAACTGGAAAGAAATTTATATTCGAGGTGAAGTGATCAGACTGAGATACCTGAGCTATCTCAGAGACGCTTACGACTTTTTGTTTTTTATTGTTCGGTCTAATAACATTTGCACTTCGACAAACCTGTTCGACCAGATATTCAACTTTTTGGGTTTGGAGCACTTTGCGCCCATCCTTCTTTACTACACTCTGGTACTGCTAGGATTGCTCAAGAAGAAAATCTCCTGCTTCGCAGATCTTAATTTTACGTTCGACAATGAGGGCGGCAAAGAGTTTTCTAAAATTGTAAATTACCCCACAGAAAAAAACTGTTTGGCAAATGTTTTCAACATGTCGGACGTGTTGCTAAAAGCATACATCAAAGATTTTGTTAAAGATTTATGCGCACTAGACGAACAATGCAAGTCGATTGACGTGTTACTGGCGATAATAGTCGCAAGTAATCAATTCAACATTGCAGATAAAGCGTTGTCTCATTTATTGTTGCTAAGGAAGAACTATCCAGACTATTTTAGTGGATTGAACCATTCTTTACCAGAATCTAAGGTGTCGTTTGAAAATTTAGAAAACTTTTTGATTGACTTTGACGATACTTGTAACATTCTTATCGCAAAGAGTCAACTACGCTTGCGTTTAATATTAAATAAAGAAGCAGATGCATTAACGTACTATAAAAAAATAGCTCAACATGAATGGCCGTTGCTTCAAACCAAGCAGGTAAATATCGAGTTAGCTAACATGAAAGGAGAACTGCAACTGTTCTCCTGCATTGTGTAGTAAGTTACAGCATATTTTTACGCATCAATATGGAGTCTCCAAAATCATAATATTCGCGCATAGAGATCCACTGTTTTTTGCTGGTTTCAAACAAGGAAGACATAATTTGGCAACCGAGCCAAGCTGCGCTTGATTTGTCTGGGTGCGCAGTCACGCTTAGAGTCGAAACAGAGTTGTTAAAATTTAGTTGGCAGAGTTCGTGGTACAGTCGGTCTTCAAATTTCTCGACCAAGGTTGCGCCGCCTGATGTTACAATATTCGAAGCCAGCGCAGCTCGCGAATCAATGGGAGCTTTTTTGAACACTGTGTTCACTATGTCTTGTAATTTGACTGATGACTGGTAAATTTCAGTGTTGTTGAACATGATTTCATTTGCATATATAACATCGTTGTTTAGTCTGATTTCCTGAACGTTGTTTCGCAACGTGATGCCGTCAGGCAAACGATGTACGTATTCCAAATGCTTTTCAGATTCGCTTCTTGGATCAAAGCCAAAAGGCACCGAGCAGTAGGTTTCTTTGATGATTCGTACGACTTGTTCTTCATCAGACGTCGTCACCTTGTATCCTTGATTCGACAGCAAATGCTGAATGTGCCGCGTCACCTGTTTGCCGCCGAAATCTCGCTTCTCCATAGTTGAGCTGATTATTGAACCCTCCACAATCGCAACTGCCTGAGTCACGCCGTCCCCTACTTCGAGCGATATGCCCGTAGTATACCCCGCGCTCATCATCGAAGCTACGTTTTGAAGTTGAAACGAAAGATAAGTTGCAGCATTCTCGTTGAAAAATTTTTCCAAGTAGTAAGTTTTCGTTTTAGTTTCCGTTTCCAGTGGAATAGTGATTATTATGTTTTGATCATTGGGGTTAAAACCTAACTTGCAAACGCTTTCCAGAATAAGGTCTAAGTCTTCATAGTCTCTTATTCTGCCATGCTCGATTCCATTATATATGTTAAGGTATTTTCTTTTTTCGATTGCTTCAATACACGCATACTTGTCGTCAAGCTGCTGTCTCTGTTCTGCTTCCAATGAAATAAGCGGAGTTCCTATAATGGATGGCACTACGTATTGAGGCCCTTCCTCCTCAGAATTCCCTATTTTTACAAAAGCACTTCCAAGGTCACAAATTATCTTTTGACTCATTCTTTATCTAGATTATAAAAGATATTTGGAGCGCGTTGTAGATCTTAACTATCAAAGCGTTTTGTTATATTTATTTCAAAGCACTTATTAGATTAATAAGGTTTTTACATTATTATGCATTTATTTCTAAATATTTTAAGACATTCTTAAATGGGTCGCCTGCTAGTTCTGTTTTATTATCTGAAGAATTTTTTCAATTGTTTTTTAAAAAGGCAAGTGAGCTTTGTTTCTAATTAGAAATGGTGTAAGATTTGAACGCGCGATCGTCTTAAAACTTTAAATTTCTTCTGTTTTTGTTTTCGTGCATTTTTTTAATCAAGTTGCTGATGTTTTGGCTGGAGTATTTGGAATCATAGGTGTTTAGAAACTCAGCATTAGCATATTTGTTAGACAAACTGTCCTGGTTAATGTTTTCAAGGTTTGCATTGATGTTGTCCTTGTTGATTGTTGGAGAAGTAAAATCCAAGACTGTGCCGTTTGAATTCAGAGCTTCTCGAGGTGTTTCCTCATCAACTGAAGAGTTTTGTTCTTGTTCTTGTTTGTCACAGAACGTAAACACGTCTGGAACTTTCCTAAACAAGTCATTTTTCAAGGTTTTATTTCCTAAAGTTCGTGAATTTATCAGTTGTGAGAATAAAACATCTCGGTAACCAAGTAGAAGTTTTGGTTTGTTGTTTATCTTTTCGAACATCTGGTTTTTTGCAGAGCTGAAATTGTGCAGCTTTTTAGATACAAGAGTCTTGTTTCTGAAACGGTTGACATTGTGGTTATCTGGGTTGTAGGCGGAAAGCGGCTTCGAAGAAGGCTGCGAGTGGTTGATGCGCAAGTTGAACGACATGAAGTGGTGCACAATGTCAAAAGAAACCGGGTGTTGTATTTTTTCTTTTTCCCATTCGTATAATTCGTTCAACGAGTACTGTTCAAAAAATTTTAAATCGATTTCGTCGCTTAAAACCACGTCGATTGGTCCTTTTTGACTGAAAAGTTTTTTGAAATCGATAGATTCTAGCCACGGGTGCGAGAAGATGTCGTAGATATTAGAAAAACGAGAGTTTTTCTCCGATATGAGCTGCGCTATTAAATTCTGGACCTCGAAACTGAGCAAGTCAAAACCTTTAAGCTGATTGATTGTGTCCTTGTAGTTTTTTATTTCTGTTTTTATTTGTTCCTTTTCGTCTTCTTCGTCGTTGAAAGGAAGCCATCCCAAAAGTATTTCAAACAAAATTACCCCGAGCGACCAAAAGTCTGCGGTGCGGTTATAAGGTTCTTTTTTTTCAATAAGTTCCAACGCCATGTATTGGATCGTGCCAACTGGAGTGTAAAATTTTTCTGGGTACGAAACCCCGTGGCTGTTTTTGGAATAGTTAGGTAAACGACGAGCTAAGCCAAAATCGCCCAGCTTGAGGTGACCTTCCGCAGTAATAAATATGTTCTCTGGTTTCAGATCCAGGTGTGCAAAGCCGATGCAGTCGTGCGTGAAACCCAACGCTAGCACAATTTCAGCAAAAATATACTTCGCTTCTTCTTCGGAGAAATACTTTTTTTTGATTAAGTGTGACATGAGGTCGCCGCCTGGGGCGTATTCCTGCAGGATATAAAAAAACTTATTTTCATACCATACACATTCACCTTTGATAATAAAGTTGGCTGAATTCATTCTCATGTAGTTATATATACTCTGAAAAATATTCTTATCGAATTGGGAACCACACGTTTCTTGGTAGTGTTTGATCATAGACTGGACGAGTCTCACGTAATTGTGAGTGGAAAAAAGCACTTCAATCTCTGTTATGACGTGTTGTACTGATCGCGAATTAGTCAAGTCGCACAGAGCTATTTGCTTGACCACGAACAGCCGGCCGTCCATCGGATTTCTGACCAACCTGACTACGCACGATGAACCCTTCCCTATCAACGCCAGAGTTTCATATGCTCGAATAAATAACGGATAATCCTGTCTATTTTGAATTATCCTTGACATTACGCATCATAACTCGATCTCTGAAGGAAAACAAATTAATACATTTTTTCTACATTAAACTAATTTGCTTCAATTTTAGAATTTCGCGGTGGGAAAAATTCTGACTAAATACCGAACCTGCAACTAATCTGAGCAACGAAGTCGAGTAAGAAATTCAATATTTTGTTGCTGTTTATTAGTTTATTTAATTTTTAGCGTAAGAAACAAATTCAATTTTTCTATGATTGGGGCCCTAGTAATTTTTTCCAACAAGGGGAAAACGTTATTTCAAAGGCAATACCTACCAAACCTCAGTTTGAAAGCAATAAAAACTTCTTTTTTGGAAGCTATCAATCTGGCGGAGCTTAATACACGAGATCAACTACTGACAGAATCTCAAGTGTATTCGATTCAAAATGACTCGAAAATTTATAACCGGTTTGCAAATGCGTTTTTAAGTGTCAGTTTAGAGCCGTGTACATTGCCCGTATTCTCAGTAGATGGAATGACTTTTTATTCTGTGAAAAAAGACTTAATTTTGTTAGCTGTTTGCCCGGAAAAAACATTTGACGATGTCATTGTACTTAGTTTGTTGAACGAGCTGCCTGAGATATTTGAGCAGTCGTTGGGCGAATTTAGTGAGGAAAATATTAAGAATAATTTTGTACTACTCTACCAGTTGGTGGAAGAACTGATCGATGACGGAATGATCCAAGTCACGGACAGTGTCGTTTTAAAGAAGTTCATCAATCAATCTAAAGAAACCAGCAACGTTGTCAGCTCCGTCCTCAACACTAGCGTGCCCTGGCGTACTACAGGAATAGTGCACAGGAAAAATGAATTATTTATTGATGTTATAGAAAAAGTCGATACATTGCTTTCTGCGGACGGATCTGTCATCCAGATTCAAGTGGGTGGTTCCATTTTGCTGAAGTCTTACTTAAGCGGGATGCCTGAGTTGCAACTGGTGCTGGCTGTTTCGAAACACGTAACTTCACCAACAATGATCAAGTCAAACAGACCTAGCAAAAACACTGAAATGGTTGTGGTGAACGATATTTCAAAGATAAATGTGTTGGAGGACCTGCGGTTTCACCAATGTGTGCGCTTAAATTACTTTACCACAAAAAAAATAATTTCGTTCATACCGCCCGACGGGGAGTTTGAACTACTCAAATACGAAATCAACAAATGCCACGTCAATTCGCCATTGTTTTCTGTTGTGATCAACATTCCGGAAAAACATTTAGACCCAGAAGTAGCAAGTTTCAAAATTAATGTCGAAATCAAAGCGTTGTTTTCTTCTAAAATTCATGCAAATCACGTGAAGCTCATACTGCCGATTCCAAACAAGCTTAGTAACACCGAAGTGAAATACTCGACCGGAACGTACAAATACTTGCATTCAAACGACGCGCGTTTGGAATGGACCATTGACTGCATGTATGGCGAAGAAAAATGCAGCTTCATGCTTAATGCAAACAAAATACAACACGTCAATGGGTCAATCAATGAAAAACAATGGTACGATAAGCTCGCCACGCTTGATTTCCAGATCCCTTTCCACACAGCAAGTGGGATTAAAATCAGTTCGCTTAACATATATGAAAGCAGCGGATATAACGCTATGCCTTGGATCAGATATTTGACTAAAAACCATAAGTATCAAATCAGACTGGTTTAGTGTGCAGTCAAAATAACTCTAAAACATAAACATCCGGTGCAAAGTTATTCTGCGCCGTTTTCCAAATCTGAATCGTTGACAGGCTCAATGTTTTTTTGACACAGTATTTCAAACATCTCGTCGATAAACTGGTTCCTTAATTGTTGAACGGTTTTATTTAATTTGCAGCTGAAATAAATTAATTGTGAAGGATTCCCCAGATGCGTGGCGTACGTATCTAATTTGATGTTTTTGTACCACGATTCTTTTGTTGTGGCTTCATTCCCCGCGCTTTCGTGTTTTTCATATAGTTGATCTCTGTAGGCGTGGACATTCAAAGGAATTTGGCTCATCATGAAAAATAACGCATTTGATAAATTAATATTGAGAATAACTCTCAATAAATTATATAGAAAAATAAATTTTACATGGCTTTTCTGTTTCCAGTTTTTGAAGAACTTACTTTTAAATCTAATTTTCATGCGTGAAACCTGTCATACAGACATAGGAAAGGTTGATACGAAAAAAAAAAGATTCAGTTTCAGATTCGTCAAAGCAAAAGAAAGAAAGGGCGACTTTAAATACGATGCTTCTGCCGAAAAATTTTTAGTAAATGAGAAATCGAAAACCGAGCCAGCAATAATTGCCTCGGCAAACCCAGAAATTGTGCTTGAAGTCAATGAAAAAGAAATAACGAACAATTCTTTCTCAATTGATCTGCAGCGAGAATATGAAGACTGGAAAAAAAGGCATGAAGCCAGACTACAGTCTGGATTGGTTAAGGAGTAGCAACGCAATTATCTGGTTTAAAAACTTCACTCGCCCTGTGAAGCATATAGAGGACCAAAAATTGGCTTGTAAGCATCAACACTGCTACTTCACAAGTGTAGATGATGTGCCCCATCGACAACAGTTCAAAACCGTGCTCTGGTTTGTGCACTGATCGTAATTTTTCTATTTCGTGGTTCGTAAACCCAGCTTCCGGCCCAAAAGCTAGAAATACGTTTTTTCCGCAAAATTTATGCTTAGACTGAAGTTGAACAATGCCAAGCGGTTCTAAGTCATCGAGGCTGTATGGGTGTGCGACCACAAGAAGACCGTTGAATGAAACAGTTTTTATAAGTTCGTCAAGCGACGAAAACAAACTTATTGTAGGTGTATAAGTTCTACAAGCCTGCTGCATTGCTTCAAACAAGTATTTTTCGAGCGCTTCTGGTGCTAGCTTGGACGATTTCAGATAGTCGATCTCGCTCTTGATGCTGATGTAAAATAACACTTCGGAAACATCTAGCGTGCCTAGTGTTTTTACCATCCTGACAAATACGTTGGGTCGAGGAATGGCTAAAATGAGTTTGGCTGGTGTTACTTTCGCAGGTTCTGCAGAGTAACAAGACGGCATCGTTTTGCATAGCTTTTTAATAAGTACCGAGTCGTCAGAACAAAAAACGTTATCTAGATCGGCTGTTATTTCCAGTTTTTCGTAAGGATTGCTTAACCAATGGTTAAGCTCGCGCTCAGAAAGAGCAGGAAATTTTAACATCGAATTGTTAGCAGTTAAAGCTGGTTTTTCACTCATGATTGATCGCTTAAACTCTACTTCAGCCGATTTTTGCGTTATAAAATCCCAAATGTTTCGTGCGTTTCGGAAATACAACGGTAGCAGTTGAATTTCGTAAATCAAGGCGGCTTTGATGTTTACATCTTTCAAAATTCGCAGCTGTCCAAGTCCAATTTGTCCGTTAATTACTCCAACTTTGACGATATCTTTATCTTCAAGTCTTAACACCTCGTAAATGTGTTTTTGTTGTTCTTTGTTAGGTATAAAAACACCTTCGCTAGATAAATCCACTTGTTTTACTAACAAAATGTTCATTTATTGACGCGTGTGGATTTTGTTATATCTTGAGGCGATGTTTAAAGAAACAATAAATTACTAATTTACCCGCCAAAATTCATATTAATTCATCAAAAAATATTATGGCTAGAATAATTTTGTAGCAGATTGTCAAAACTGGATGTGAAAACTAGAATTCAGCCTAAACGAAACTCTCTGAACTACTTTTTTGAGGCACATTAACTTCATTTTGCAATTTTGTATTTGAATTTCGTCTCGGGTATTTTCCTCTTTTTTTGCTTGCTGACAAAATCTGTCAATAAAATCGGCTAAAGCAGCTCTGTAAGAACCAATAGTTGGATAAAAAGATAGTATTATTTTATATTTGTCGTAGGATTCCTTGGTGTTAAATGTTAGAGCGTATGGCAGTCGCGAATTACGTTTTAGTTTATCTGCAAAAAGTAAAGCACTTTCTTTTTTTTTTGTTGGCAGTTTGTCAAAACAAATATTGTATTCACCTAGCTGTCGAGACGCAAACATAAAAAGTAACACAAAAAACTCGCCAGTTTCTGGATCGTCAATCATGTCGACTATTTCATTCCATACAAATTTACAATCTTTGATTTTTGTTGAAAGAAGAAATGAGATTATCTGCATTAGTAAAATATTTGTTCTCGAGCCTAAATTACGCTTTAATTTATCGAGAAATAATTTTACCAACTTTTGGTTCTGTTCAGTGGTGTATTTTTTAGCAATATTCACAAGATTAGTGTGATTGAGATCAATAAAGCGAACCAAAGCTTCATTCTTGGCTAATCGAATTGACTGCAGTACTAATAGCAAATTATCGTTAGTAGCAACGATAGTCTCTGCAAACTGGTTCATCAAAGAAGGAGTCAATTTTCCAGCATTAGAAAAATAATTAAACAAAAGATTTGCATCGTAGCAACAAAGAATTACACTTACTTTTGGTTGCATGTTAAATCGCTCTAATAATTCGATTAAAAATGCAAACTGCTCAACGTAGTTTGCAAAAAACGGAAGTAATGTTTTTCTAGAATCTGCAATTGTGATCTGGTCAATTATATATGAAACAAAATGCAAGAATGATTCCGATATATCTGAAAGCTTTATTCTGCTTTCTAAAATTTTTACACTCTCGATAAACAGTAACGGATTAGAAATATTTTCGAACATATTTGAAACATATAGCTGTTCAAATACTTCGATTGGTAAAGATTTTAGAATAGAGTTGAAAGAATCTACATGTGAACGCTTGTTCAGAATAATAACTAGATCGGGTAACCAATTTGAATTTAGGCTATCTCTGTGACGGTCACAAGAAATAAAAATAAAGAAATGCAGAGCCGCTTCAAACACAATATCAGCGTATTCTATAAATTGAAAAAAAAGACCGGGCTGTATATTGACTTGGTCGTATTGACTAATAATTAACTCAAACGCCAAAATTCGGGGTAATTCGTCTCTGAAATTCTGATTCATACGCTGTTTATCAGCATTTATACAATGATAAATCTGTGTTATCACGTGGTTTGCATTACTTAGCATAACTAAGCGTGTGAAAATTGCATATTTGCTTAACTGCATTGAGTATGATGAAAAACACCAGTTTATCAAAGCAGAAAACTTGTTTGTCGACGGAAAAGATAAATTGAAAGATTCGACAAATAAATCGTTCAAATCTAACAATAATTGCCAACCATCAGGACACAAAACCAAAAACCTGTTTCGATGAAAACGCAAACAAGACATTGGCTTTTCCACTAATTTAGTTTCATATGAACTGCATATGATTTCTTGGTCTTTTACCGTAAAAATATGTATAAGACTAGTTGCCGATGCAAACACACAGAAGCTTGTATAATAAAATTCAGTCCAGCAATATAGCCACTGAGAATCCAAATCTAGATGCTGTACATCGATTTTGATTGTTGTTGCGGTATCTGTAATAAAACAGAGAATATATTTAAATTTTGAGAGTAATACTCCGGTAGACGAACTTGGCGAGTGGAGAGCGACCCATTCTGACTGAGCATTAATAGTTTTAGACGCGGAAAAAACTTTAGAAAATTTTTTGGTAGCTGAGTAATAGGCATATAGGTCTGAATTTGGAAGAAAATTCAACGCTGAAAAGTAATTCAGATCTAAATTAGCTAACACATTAAAAAAGACGCTGTTTTGCGGAAATGATAAAACAGACCCTGTGATATGCAGTTGAAGTTCTTCAGATTGTAGGTTGCTTAAAATCTTGCATGTGGGATCAAAATACAGTAAGTTCGTAAACCTAGAAAGCATTTAAACACACAGATAAGATTTTGATCTGTACTTGTTAACATTCAAAATCGATTTGACCTTAAAAATAAGGATCATCGAGCAATTTTCACTCAGTTTGATAGATTATTCTGACTTTAAACAATTCAAATACGATTTTTGCGTTTAAACGTATATTTAATTATCTTTAATTCAAATCTAATTAGATTCGTGAAACTCCAATAAAATTGAATTTAGTATTATTTTAATTTTTTCAATTATTTCGGATTCGAGATTAATATACGGACTGGTTTCTAACTCTTTAATCTGATTGTCAATAGCCACGTGCAGTAATGAAATCAATTCTGAGGTTTCCAGATTGTTTAGATTGTTGTAGGTCGGTTTACCTTCGTTAGGACGAAGGTCGTTCACTTTTCCGTCACAGTCCACAAATACACCTGGATAGTTTATAAGTTCATAACACTTGAGGCGGCCATCGTCGTCGTACTTAGGAAGAGAAGTCCAGCTGGTTTCATCACACAAATACAAATTTTCCTTCTCCAGTGCTTCTGTGTAATCGTAGTCAATTGGCGGCCATTCCGGGAGAACATACCACCATCGACACAAAATTAAACAAACAAGTCTGTGTCTGTAAAAATGAGTTGCTTTTTTTTGGTTATCGGCTATCTGTGCAATCGCCATAAAAGAACGTTGAAAACATTTTTTTTTATGCAGTATATAGTAATTGTGAATTATTTTTTTTTTGAAGAGTTAACTTCCGTTGGCTGCTTAATAAGAGATTACCACCGTTGTCAAAGTTAAAACGAAGAGCAATTTTAACTTTATCTTAAGTTAGTTTCAAAAGATTAGTGGATGTACTCAGCCGACCAGCAGATTCAGGCGAGGTACGTTCAGTATCCGAAAATTGACGTTGTTGAGCTCTCGCAAAACTTTCTTTCATTTTATCTTCGAGACTGTGATGTGTCTATTGCAAATGCATTGCGCCGTGTAATGATTGGAGAGGTTCCCACTTTGGCTATCGATATTGTTACAATTTCGGAAAACACAACGTGCTTGCAAGATGAGATTATCACTCACCGGCTCGGACTTATTCCCATAGATAGCACAAACTGTGAAAATTTCAAGTACAACCATTTATGTACTTGTGTAGACAGTTGTGCGGAGTGTCAGGCGCGTTACTCAATCGATATGACTGTCACTGGAAATAGCGTTTATAATCTGACGCATTACGACATTAGCCCTATTGGAAACGCGCCCCCAATCCGTATTTTTCACGACGGCACTTTCCAAAACTTAATAAATCGTCAGTGCAAAACCGAACCTGGTATACTCATTGCTAAGTTGTCTCCAGGAAGTTCTTTCAAAGCAGAGCTTCAAGCAATTAAAGGAATAGGAAGTATACACACCAAATGGAGTCCTGTAGGAACAGCTACTTTTCAGAACGTGGCTGAAATAACTATAAATAAAGATATGCAACGAAGCATTCCGAACAACCTCAAAATCGAGCTTTACAATAAATCTCCACGGGGGCTATTTTCTTTAATAGTAAATATTAGTAAAAAAATCGCAGGTATTGACGAACTTAGCCGAGATAACGAAAAGTTATACGATCTCGACCTAGTCTTGAACAACCCACTTTGGTACAATTTTGACGACGATATTAAGCAATTTTTAAAAAAGCACAAAATCACTGATTTCATCAAAATCGTTAAAAAAGATAATGAGTTCTTTTTCACCGTAGAATGCGTTGGACAATTAAAAGCTATCGAAGTGCTCAAACAGTCGATAGACACAATCAGACGAAAGATATCCGAAACATACGAATCGTTTCTCGATAACTCTGCTACAATTACTACACTTAATATTACCAAACAAACTTCCCTTAAACTTGACTAGTTGTTGCTTTTCTTAAAAATTTTTTGTTTTATTTGTGGAATATCAAAGTTACTATTAGTTTTTCTAAATGAATATTAAAACGTTTTTCGCTTAAAAATTAAAGATGCAAAATGAAATATCGGAAAACTAATTAGATTACTGGTGAATTTAAATGATTTGATTTAGCAATATATAAAATCCAACTTTATATAGATTTGACAGAAGTAAAAGTACGCTTTATTTTTCTGTTTCTTGATTTAATATCTTCAAACAATATTGCTGAGTTATAAACACATATCTTTGATGCGTCGATTTTTTAGATCAAGTCTGTTAGTCTTTTTTCTTAAAATTTATCATTTTAGTGATTTCTTGTTCTAAAAAATTTCTTACCTTGTATTGATTATAGTGCGGCTTGCATTTTGTGTTCTTTTGTATCACATTGTTGCCATTTAATTTAGATTTTGATTGTTTTCTCTTATTTTGATTGTATTGAAGTTTAGCTTGCAAAATAAAATTTATGTCGTAGAAGGGGCGACAAAACTCAGATCCCAAAATTGGAGCTGGTTGTTTGATTTCATTATTAGCAATAGATAAAATATACGCGCATTTTTTCTCAAGAGAACTGTCGCGTTCGAGCATGCGTACCGACTTTTCGATCTGATCAAGTACTGTCATTTGGTTATAAAATTATTTTTTATTTATACAAACAAAAAAAAATGAATTTAGGAATGATCAAACTGCAAATAATAAAAAAATTGGTTTGTAAAAAAAATTAGCGCAATCATGTGTTCGAGATGGCAGACACGCAAAAAGAATGAAATATTCTTGGGAACTGACAGAAAACCTCGTGATGTTTCAAAATCTTTATAGAGTCAATAATAATGATTTGTGGTTGGAATAAAACTATACGCCAATGTAATAGTTTAGTTTTGATCGCAGGACAACCATTGACAAACTGCCCGTATTGTAAATTAATAGGAAAAAATGATTCCATATGGTATCCTCACCAGTATGGTTACGACTGTATCCGCTATATATGTTCAGAGAACACTAATGAGGGCGAAAACAACCGATGTGAAGAATTTTTCGACTACAATTCTTCAATGATTTTTTGGAACAAAAATGACCAATCTCACACATTTGAAATCCCGCTTTGCCCGTATTGCAATGGTGTTTTTGGCATTTACGAGCTGGAAAATAGTTCACTTATCAGTATGAGCAGAAATAGACTTAGATACTGCATCAAATGTCCAAAAAATCATTTGCTGCCGCTAGCTAGCTTTGTCTGCATGACACGCAAAGGAAGATCAATCTGCGGAGGTTCGTATAAATTACAATGGACATACGATACTATGGTACTGAGATGCAGTTCGCAAAGAAACCGTGATCATGATCTTTGGTGGATTCGCTACAAAGGTGAGTGGAAACAGCGCCGCACGATAATTCGTTATAAAAAAGAATTGCTGAGCAAGCTGCCAGACAAGCATCGACAATATATTTTAGGGCTTGTCATGGAAGGCGATACTATACCAGATCCGCAACTGCTCAGACTATTTCACGGAAACCTCTCGAACACAATATCCCAATTAAATCAATTAATTAAAAAAAATTCAATTAGTGATGGTCAATATCCAAATGATTATAATGTGAATAACTCGTCCCTTTTACCGTCTAATATGACCAACAATTATGAGGCTGAAAATTGGCCTAGCGAACATTATCGCTTTAATGAAAGCAATGACCTGAACCAAAAAATACTTCTTAAAAAACAAGCCAGCTGGTACGACGAAGTAGCAATGAATTATCCTGAAAACTTTTCTGGAATAGATGATTTGATTTACGATTCAACGGATCCTGCAAGGGGTAACGTCCATTATGAGAAACAAAACATGAGTTACGAAATGTATGATATTGATAGAAATGTTCATCAAGGCGTGCCCTATGACATGAGCATTTGCAATGTCGAGTTCCACGTTAATGGTGTTAAGTAACCATTGTAGCCGCGTGCGACGCGATTCTAATTATTATTTCAAGCTGTAATGATATTAAGCTAGATCAACACGTTCCAGCTCGCTGTTTGTATAAACAATATCGCATGAAATAAAGTCAGTTAGGTAAAAGCGATTTTATTTCGTTGAGCTTTGTAAGTATTTTTAAAATTGATTTTCAATCCCTTTATAAATAATTTATAAATAATTAAGCCTGCATCGATATATTTTGTATCATTGCTAAGATTTAAATAGACGAGTTCTTTGCAGGCCGCGAAACGTTTTCAAACAGTACATCTACCTCTGAATGACAGAGCAAAGAGATTATTATGAAAATGAAAGAAAGTTTGCGCAGCTGGAAAATGCTGTTTCAAAAAATCTGATGAACGCCTTACGAGCTAAGGAAGAAGAATTGGATAGCGAACTGAATGCGATACAAAATCTAAACGACGATGATTTTGAAAAAATCCAATACAACCGCAAGAAGCGGCTATTAGAAAAGTACAAACGAGACAATCACTGGCGTAGTTTAGGTCACGGAGAGTTGACTGAGTGTACAAGCGATACAGATTTCTTTACAATTTCGGAGAACAGTCCACTTTTGGTTGTGCATTGTTTCAAAAACGACATTGGCATGGAGTATTCGGAATATTTGAATGTTATATTGGAATCTCTGGCGAAGAAAAGGCTAGATATTAAATTTATTAAGCTGAACGTGGAGCGTCATCCGTTTTTAGTGTCGACGTTGAACGTATTTGTGATTCCAACGGTGTTGTTGATAAAACAGATGAAAGTCATTCATCGTTTGGTTGGGTTTGATGAGATGGGCGGCAGCGTGGATTTTTCCGAAGCTGACTTTAATAATTTGCTGAATAGTTACAGGATTAACGAGAAGTTCCTCACAGAAAAAAACTCAGACGATGATGAAGATGCATAGCTCGTGAATAAAAAATTATATAATCTCTCTGATTTTAACAAAATTTATTTTTAATAAGCAATTAGGTTGTAAAAGCAAAATGGCCCGAAAACCAGATCCATATGACAATTTGCTTAAGAAGAAAGTTATGATAAACTTTTATGGAAATCGAACAAGTAAGTGTGCCGTGTTAAATTTTAGTTTCTGGAATTTTATTATCGATAGATAGTAATGGAAATATACTACTGGACAATGCGTTAGAGTATTTAAGCAACGCTGAAAAACGGCCAACGACACGGACACGAGAACTAGGTTTGATTATCGTCAAGATGAGTCAAGTTCGCGTAATTTCAGATTTCGATTCATATAAAAATATTGAAAATCCTTTCGAACGAAAGGAAAATAATAAAAATTAACAGAAATATTTTCTGGTATTTACGTATGGTAAATAATTAAGCATTGAGTTTGATGTCTGAAATGCAAAAACGAGCTGGGCAATGACGTTATCAGAATCTTGGCTTAAGTCATTTTTAACAAAGCATTTGTTGGATGACTTTGTACTAACGGACGAAGGGATAGATTTCTTGGAATCGTGGTTTTTATCAACGTTGACAATGTTTCTGGACTTCTCCAAGCATGTTTTGTGTTCTCAACGAAACACGACTTTGACCCATGCAAATGTGGTACTGATCGAGAAACTGTTGGGTGAATCAAAGCACGCAGAAATGAGTTCAGATTCTGATGAAGACGAACTGGTCAATCTGGATCAGCTGATCGACGAAGAGATATGTAGTCCTGTGGAGTTTCATACAGAGTTAAAATGGTTGGCTATAATGGGCGAAGTTGTTGACAACGACGCCTTGGTGGAACGAATTACTAAAGAAAAACGGGTATTGTGGAAATACTCAAACTATCAGAGTTTCATTCAGACGATAGATTCGCTGAACAAACCACAACTGGCTCATGAGTTGATAATTAAAAACTTTGCTGCAAAGCAAGTTGAGCAATTATCGTCGAACAAAAACTGCAATGATCTCATTCTTGACATGACGGGCGCGTTTGATAATTTTATCTACAACGAAGAAAAAATGTATTTTATGAAGGTTTTCGCCGTTATTACAGTTAGAATCGAGCTAGAGAGAAACAAATCCAAATCTAACAAACTGGTTCTAGAAAACAACGTGATTCTTCAAAAAATTTTGCAAAGTTTTAAAAACGGACTGTTTTCAGACTTGCTTGTAAGCATTATCGTAACCGGGCTATGCAAGATTTTGATGAATATTTTGTCGCTCGGCCCGGTGATTTGCTGCGAGATCATCATTTCGTGTTTCTATGCGCTCATGTCTAACAAGCAAGTCAATCTGCAGCACTTGATGCACCAACTAGTCGAATCTTTACTGTGCATTATTCTAGCTCCGCAAATCGGCTTGATAGCTAATAATTACACCAGCCAATTCAAGCTGGTTAAACTTATGGCTTCGGAAACGTTAAAAAACATAGTATACAACAAAGACTCCTACCAAACACTAAATCTGTTAGAAACTATCATTTCTAAATATTTGTCGTGTTTCGAATACGAGCTGGGTTCGCTTTTGGGGATAGTGTTGCTCTGCACTGTTTTAAAAAATGAAAACCTCAATAAGCTAATCCTGCAAAAAGAACAAAAAATAAGACGATTTCTTGACCAAATTTCGACACAAGCCACTGAAAACAACGAATACTTCAATGTAGAGCTCACCAGATATTTAGAAGCTTTTTTGTTATCGATTAAGAATTCTATTGTTGATCTACCTCAATTATTTTATTAAATGTTGAATATTTAATTTTAGTGTTTGAATAGTAGATAACTAGTTCAATAGTTAAACTCCTAGCTTCAACGTGTTCTAGAGTTTAAAATGTTACTCTGATCTTTATTTTACTGAATAAATTAAAAGGTGATGATCGCGCCCCAACCGGCCATTTTGTATTACCATCTCGAACCGCTCGAGCTTCAAGAGCTGCCTACATTATACATTTACCTGTCCTTGAACAGTCTCACCACGTATTTGCAACACGGCCTTCAATTCAACGCTTACGAAGAGCACATTATAAATTTTGACAGACCTTTGTCCACATTCGACACAGAAAAACTTGCTAAAGTTTTCAATGAGTTCCATATTCGCACACAATGTGCTGCAATTTCAAATTTTGGTAACATTTATATCGCTTGTAGTTTTCCTTTTTTACAAATAGTTGAGAATCAGCAATTGTTTATTTCGATTTTGCGCAAACAGTTGAAAAATCTGAGAAGCCAAAACATTTATTTACAAAAACAAGTTCAGTTACCTAGCAAATCTTTTTTGGTTGCGTTTAATCAACAGAAAATTACTAAACCGTTCCCGTTGAAATTCATATACATGTTGGGAATTCGTTCCGATATTTCATACATGATGAAATACTTCGGATACGTGGAAAACGAATCTTACATTGAAATTTAAATTTATAGATTGCTGGATTAAAAAATGACGTTGCAAAATTAGTTAACATAATTCTACCTCTATTGCTGCACTGCGCATTTGATGCTGGGCTACTGACGATAGCTCGATTTACATTGGGCATGCCTATCATTTCGTTGTTAATATTGTTACTAAAAGATAAACGTATATTTATAAATATTACGCTGTACAATCTAATAAGGGCTCGGGAAGAATACAATTTACTGTTACTGCAAAATTTAAAAGAATGTAGATAATAAAACAGAATAAGATAAATGCTTATAAATTACGATATCAAGAATTTTAGTACGTAATAACTAAGTTAGACTGAGACATACGGATAATATCTACTTTGGCAGAATACTTAGAGTCGGTTGAATTCAGCGTGTCAATATGTTTTACCACGCAGTTAGCGAAGGTGGAAGCAGCTTCCGGAGCACAGTTGTATCCACCTTCAAGTACACTAACGAGCCGCCCTTCACAACAATCATTAGCTACTCCTATCAAAAGTTTCGTAATTTGTCTGAACGATTTTTCCGTTAAATGACCAAAACCTTGGTTCAGTTGTTCGTTGACGTGTGCGTCAAATCCAGAACTAAGCATAATAAGGTCGGGATCAAACTCGTATAAAGGAACAAGCACATGCGAACAGAATTTAGTCATATATGTTTCTTCTGTGTCCGCTTTGGAAATCGGCACGTTGATAATGTTGGAATTTGAAATATTGGACGAGCCGCCTGTGCCTGGGTAAAACTCTTGGTCATATCCGTGAATCGAAGCTAGGAAAATATTTTTGTAGTCGTCCATATCCCGCCAAACCCGCAACTGAGGAATTTCAACCGTGGTAGAAGAGTTGATGAAATGGGGTTTTGAAGAGCTGAAGACCAGGTTTCGCGAGTGAGAAGTAAGTAGTTCTACAACATTCTCCGAGCCATTACCGTGGTGAATATCAAAGTCGACAACAGCAATCTTATTGATGCCAATTGACTCCAGGTTGTAACGCGCCCATGCGACTCCAATCATTACGTTATTTAATAAACAGAAACCTTGACTTCCAGAGCTCCAGCTAGTCGATAAAAATGAGTTTTGATCGTTCTGAGCAGCTCCATAAGTACCTAAGTGATGTCCTGGCGGTCTGATGGCGCAAAACGCGTTGCGCACAGAATTCGGTGTTTCATCTGAGTTCGAATTGTACCGAGTGACTAATCGGATAGCATGTATGACACAACCAGCTGCAGCGAGCGCAGCATTGTAACTGCCCACCGTCATTATTGTGTCTTGATCTAAATGAGACTTCATGTCAGGGTAATTCTTAGCTTGATTTACTTGTTTCATTAAAGCGAGAATGTAACTCGCGTCGTGTACTCGCGAAATGTCTGCGAGACATGGCGTGTAAGTCGAATTTTTTGTCAACACGTCTACCATTCTTACATCATTGAAAAAAATTCCGTTTTCTTGATCGATGATTACTTCTAACCGGTGCATATTTTCAGGGTTGTTTTTTATATGTCTAACTTTTTCACAAAAATCAGCCGGCTCGTAATACATATGCTGCAGACACGTTTCATTATATACAAAAATTGTTTTATTTAATAATTCACAACGGTGTATTATGTTGTAAAAATACTCCAAATCACTGACCATGTCAAAACCAAACTGTGAAGCCACTCCTGAGTTGGTAATACTCTGCTTAATCACTTCGAAAGAGTTCGTAAATATCGGACTTGAAACTAAAAACTTCATGTGCACACTGCTCGAATAACTCATCGACTTTATGAATAGTTCAATGTAATCCTGCAAGTTTACCTCATTAAAAAAGTTTTTAGCCAAGTTAGGGAAGAGTTTGCGAGACTCGATACTTTTGTCTACGTATTGATACATCGATAAAACGCCGGTTTCTAGCAACAAAGCGATTGCATCGTCTAAATGCCTTTGACAAATTCGGTCTACCAAAGAGTATCCATCTGCATCAAGTTCTTCAATGTTGAAAAACTTCAATGTATTGTCGTCTACCTCGTAAACCTTTTTTAATTCTTCAGCCTTGGTTACGTATTTGTTCGAAAAATTAGATCTCATCGCGGGCAAGAAAACCAGAGCCAAACAAACCAAGGCTTGTTCTTTCAGGTCGCGCTTGTTCAACGAGTTCAAAAGCAAATGCAAACAGGGGGTTCCAAAATAAGAGTAATTCAAAAATTTTGATATGTTTGAAGATTTAGTAAGCTGAAACTGTGTTTCGCAGCCGTCCTGAACGTTGCCTTCACTGTAAATCAACGCAGCTTTGCGTTTTATTGACTTGTCGAGAGTAAACAACGTAGAGTCGGTAAACTTGTCTGTCAGCTTTATTAGCATGCACAGCAAGGCTGGCGCCGCAGATAGTAAACAGGTGTGGATCGCCGTCCGTGACGCTTTGTCTAGATTCACAATGTATTCGTGAGCCAAAGGCATTGAGCAGAACTTCTCTACTTGCTTGACTTGGTTGGAAGCAATTGCTTTTGCCAAGTTATCCATGCTAAAGTAAATGGGGTCACAACACCATGAAGCAAATTT